GGGAGGAGGGGTGGCTAACCATTTTATGCACCCTTAATTCACTCCTACTGTTGCTCATTTTATATTTTCCATTCACTGTATGTTTTGATGCAGTTTCTCTTATTTTCACTTTCTTCCTTCCATTTTCATTCTTTGCTCAATTGTCTACTTACATAAGGTACTAAATGCATTTATACAATCTTCATCAGCTTCTATTTACTTCTTTAACTTTACAGTATGTTTCACTTCTAAAGGCTGAATAATTGGACTGTAATTGTGGGTGCAGCAGATTCCTTCATATGAATTGAAAACTTGACCACTTTATAAATGGCAATAAAGCGCATTTCATGCTCTTAGAGCTGCTTAGCCAAATTAAAATAGAAGCCAAACAAATGTAGGTATCAGCAGATATATAGGACATGTAATTTGCTCACAAGGGTCAGGAAAAACAACTTTTCATGCTGCAGTGGTCTTTAAAATTCCTTAGGAATTGGGGATAGAAAGCAAAAGAGGAGTGAGTTTTGGCCATTGCTTTAAAAGCAGGTATTAGTAAGAGAATCTTATTGATGTTTTGTGATGCTTTATCAAGAACATTGTCTGATCTGGCATCAGTCTTTACATCTTAGATGAGCATTAAGCAAGTCCATAAAGCAACATAGTGTCAAGTGGCCTCTGTTCCAAAAAGTCATATCTTAACTGAGAAGTAACTGAGCTATAAGAGCAGTTTTCCTATTGTGCCTTATCTTTCATGTTTTGAAAGAGTCGTCTGGGACTTCTCTGTTTGTTTTTGTTTACTCAAAGCACTTATTTTGCTAGAAGCAAAGTCTCAGTACACCATCCTCAGTCCTTTTGCAAGGAATTTGCATTTAAGTACATAGTCCTTGCTTTTCTTCTCATTCACCTATGCAAATTTTACATGAATAAAGAAACTCTGCAAAGACAACTTTTCAGAATTACCTGGGCTTATGAAGTTTTTAGTTTCAGTTCTAAGACCTTCCTCAGACCCTGGAAGAGAAAATCTATGTAGGATAGAGTTGTCTGTAGGCAAAAGAAGTTTAAAGAAAGAAAATAACATGGAACTGGTGAGGGAGCATGACAACAGTTGGGCTGCTACTGAAACCTAAAAGAAGCATTCTAAGAATAAACAGCCATCAGTGAATAACAAGAGTGAAGTCAAATGAAGAAATTACTTTTAACAACTGGAAGAGGGAGGAGGATTAGAACTGAGAAGAGATAATTGCAGGCATTTGGCAAAGCACACTGTAGAGCCTTGGAAAGAAATGAATAGGTTTCACATTAGAAGGAAAAGTTGAAGCTTGGAAAAAAAAATCCCACTCTTGGAAACGAGGACTGTTATTAGTTGAGATGGCAGCAGAGGAAGTTAAACAAATAACAAGTTTGCATTTAACTTTTGTGGTACATTGTCTTCAGTTCTTGTTGAAAAAAAAAGAAAAAAGGGAGCGATAAAGTCTCGTCTTGGTACATATCAGTGCGTGAATCAGCAAGACTGGAAGGGGTGATATCTTTAATGAGTACTGTACTTCTTTTAACTGTGGAACAGCACTTCCTTAACTGATATGCTTTGAGCTGCAGGTTCTGGAGTATCATGAAATGTATAACATATCTGAAGGAAAAAAACACCATACTGTAAAATCCTGACAGAATTATAGCAAAACTGTTCCTCAGCAATTAGGGATCAGGAGTTTGTGTGTGACTACTCACCCCTAAGGGGAAGGAAGCACCTAAAATTCATAAATGGTTATCTAAAGGAATCACAAAAGTCAGAGAGTCCACAAGCAGTCAGAAAGTTCCACTTTTCATGGAAATTGGTATGTTAGTCCTTGACCTACTATATACGCACATGGCAGTGAGTTTTGAATAAAGGGGAAGGGTAAAAGGGAAGAGAGAAATTAAAGGGGGAGAGATGAATTAATTAAGAAAAAGAGAAAGAAAAAGAGAAAAAGAAAGAGAAAAAGAGTCCTGTTTCAAGTGTCAATCCAGCTGGGGGTTGCCAATCCTGGTTTCAGCATTGATCCAGCTGGTAAGTGTCAATCCAGCTGCATTGGTCTGGCTAAGATTCCGACCTTAATTGAAAACTACCTTAACTTTACAAGCTGTTTTAGGATTTTGCTTTATGGGATTTTTTAATTATTATTTCTAGTTAATTTAATTTTCTTTTCATGCGAAGTACATTTTAGTGGGTATATTGTTAAACATATATAAAGCATCGGTCATCAAACCTAGAATTCAACATTTGTAAACTCATATTAATTTTATGGTAAAATAAAAAACAATTTAGTACTTGCAAAATGGCTAGGAGATAGTAGCTAGAAGATATTACAGATGACAAAGGTAAAAATCCTGTTTATATCTGTAGGGCCATCATTTTTCCATGTCATTTAATAGTACTTAAGAAACATAAAGTAAACTAACAAATCATTTACAATTGTTTTGTAGATTCTACTCAGCTTGTTTGTTGCTGTTATTTTGGACAACTTGGAACTCGATGAAGATCTAAAGAAACTTAAACAAGTAAGAACATATTTTTATTGTGCTTGGAGGTCATTTCAATAAGGCATTAATTTACTGATGTTTATTGTGGTCAAATAATATGTGAAGGAAAAAATTAAAATACTGTAAAAGAGATTTAGAAATTGGTTTAAATATTCAGTGAAAGTCAATTCATATACAATTCAGTGATAAAATAATTTAAAAATCACAGCTAAGTCATCTTTTTGCTTTTAAACTAGTGGAAGCTGTCCCTGGCCTTACTTTATTAGCACAGCACAGCTCCACTGCAGGGGATAATACTGACAAGGCTCCAGAGACAGGAAGGGGTAGAGCAGTAGGGTCAGTGTGTTAGCGGAGGGCTAAAGAGGTTTGGCAAAGTTAACTTGCTTGGTTAGTTCTCCACATTTGGGGCCCAAAAAGTCATTCTCTCATGCTTGAAACCCCAAATGTCAATCACATAAAACGAATTTAACTAGAGAGTTCACATTGGCCTTTCTCACCTTGTGGACAAATGACCAAAGGCGAAGGTATCTGTAGCTTTTATGTAAATCTCTAGATGTGCTTTAATTTGCACAGAGAGGAGCAAAGCCATCAATGTTTCATGCACAAAATAGCATAGCTGACACGTGGGAGGGAACCTCTTTTGTAATATTTGGCTTACAGCCTTCTTTCTCCCATCGTTTGCTGGTTTTGTTCATTTTAAATGTGCCCCAGCAATTGTTGAAGAATTATGCTTTTCAGTTCTTGAATATTAATCATCCAGACAATTGAGATATTTTACATTGAATTCTTACATGAGAATATTACATACTTACTTTAAATTCGTCTTTGTAGAATTCAGTACAGAAATCAATATGGTTTTTTTGGTTGCAGTATTAAATTTCAGTATGTACTGCAAACTTCAAATAAGTTAAAAGACCAAGTATTTTCTGCCACAAAGAAATACAAATACTCTATTTAGGTTAATCAGCTCATATAAGTGACAGATCTTACAGATGATTTTGGGATGGCCAGACAGTCTTGAGTATGCAAACCAAGTAGGCCAAATCAAGTGCATTTATTTTTCTCTTTACCAATCTCAAGAGGTAAAATGACCTGAAACAAAAATGGCTCAGATGCATGGCAAGCAATGCTGTATCATCCTGATACCCTTACAGGAAATTTTTCAAATCTTTGCATGAGTTAGGAGCGCAAATCAACTTTCCGAAGTGAACAGCTTGTGATATAAAATCCAGTGTTTTTTTCCATGAAACATAGCATTTCTGATTCATAAACCACTTTAATAGTCTACATCTTTGCATGACTGTGCTTTAGCAGCTTACTCTGGAACTGGTGAACAAAAAGCAATGATGAGAGGCCATCACTTGTAATACTTGCCAATGTGTCAGTCTGAAATCTTGTTAGCCTGATAGGAGCTCTGTCTCTGTAATAGCGAAAGAGCACACCCCAGTAAAAGACATAAATATAATTTTTGAATAAGTCTCTCAACTTCATAGACTACAGCAGCATAACAACATGAGTATGGTGCTGGGCCAGAATAAAACCCCTTCCTTAGTCACCAGACCTTTCAGCTGCTGTGTCACTGTTTCTGTGACCCAAGTGGTCATTTAACCAGAGCACAGCGCTCTGCTATTGGACACAGACTGGCATAATGGTATATGCATTATACACCAGTTTGATGTATAAAAATATCCAAGGTGGCTGTCACTGGTTCACTTGTACTTACGCTTTTGAAATGTTCTTTTAAACAGTCACCTCTCTTCAAAGACTGTTAGTCAGTACTGCATTTCCTTCTGGTATTTTAAAACAAATTACTGTTATACAAAGTATTGCATTTTTTTAAAATTACTAAGGTAACTTTTTACTAAGGGTATAAGGGTTTGGTTCTTGGAGCTGAATGATACAAAATTAGTGGAATGAATGTACAAATGATTAAGTATCTAGAACAGAAAAGGTTTCCTGTGGGTTAAATGCAATGGTATCACAGGTTAATTGCTGACTGTGGTCTAGCATGCTGAAATATTGGTTGCCTCATCTCAAGAAGATAAAGCAAAAAGAATTTTTAATTCAATGATATTTTGAACTTTCCACTAAAAATGGACTGTAAGAAGAAGGATTGTAATTGTTATGTTTCAATCAAGAATATTTCTATAAATAAATAGATCTGCATTGCTGCACAGGAAAATTTTTGACATCTCTAATTTTAAAACGAATGGTGTTCCAAAGGAGGAGTCAAATAATTCAAATTGTAATTCAAATGTAAAAGACATTGATTGGTTGAAAATGGTGAAACTGTAATGCTCTACAAAGTATTTCCATACTCATGAGTCTGTCTCTTTTCCCTGCCTTTACTGGCTGTAAAGGTCAAGGCCTAAACCTCAAGGCACAGGGCATTTTCAGGTGATGAAATACTGAGTGTTTTTGAAGGAAGGAGGGAGAATATATTTAGACCAGAAGTCACACCTAGCTAATAATCCTCTTTGGACTGTGTTCTTCTTAACTATCACTGAATTTCTTTTCTGAAACTTGATAAGATATCTTTTATTACTTATCATTCAGATTATTGGGAAAGGGCTAATTAGTTTATATTTGCGAAACGTAAAATGATATGTAAACACATGGTATTCATGTTGCTTCAGTAAAAGTGTTTAAATATGAATAAATCAAAGCAAAAATACATTAAATGACTCAGAGATTCTAAATAAGATTGTAAAATAATGTATTTAAAAGTAAGTAAACTCTTAGAATTAAATTTGCCAGTGCAAATTTAGTTAAGGTTATATCATGATTCAGTTTTTAATTACATCATTACATAATATTCTTTCCAAAAGTCTGGCCTCATTTAGTGCACAGAGTAGATAGAGCTCATTTTAATAAACCACTGGTCGATATTTTTTCTCTTTATTGTAGAGTGTGATCATGTGCTTTATTTATTGCACAGTATTCAAGTTTTTATACAAAGACAAAACTATTAATCTCTTTTCTGACTTTTTTATGGTGCCCCTCATAAGTATGCAAAACAAACATAAAATTTGTAAACTATTTAATTTGAGTGATTTACTTAGCAGCACAGGCACATGTAGGAGTAGAATCTGTTTTTCCAAAAGATCATTCAGCTGGTTTAAGAACAGAGTAATTGTTTGTGTTTTTACAGCTCTGTTCATTTGCAATACAGCTCTCATCCTGTGCCACATCTCATCCTCTCATCTATCTGCCATGATAGCTCGAGTGAAAAGGGTTCGTATTGTCACTAATAGTCACCATCTCTCTGTGCATTAAACTTGATCCTCTGCAGCAATCCAGACTGACCTGAACACACTACTTAATCTCTAGGTATGAGGTTGATCTTGCTCATCTTCCTGTGAGGTCCTTTTCTCTGGTGATTAGTACATCAGTTATGCGGATGATATTGATCTTAGGCACAAGAAATCTCTCAGCTACAATACTGACTTCCTTATCTTTTATGCCTGTCTTCTTCACTCTCTCCATAAACTATTGCCCCAAAGTTAAAAGGAAACTGAGAAGACTTCTTGGATTTCTTTTGCCTTTTGTGATAAAGTGACAACTTTCTTTTTAGAAATTCATCACTCTTCACAGCATTTGAAGCATGGCTTTCCTTTGCATCAGCTGTGTTAACTTTTCACATCATATTTTCCACATATTTAGTAATTGTAGTATTAATACATTTCTATCAAATTGCCTAGATGTGAAGTCAGGCTGATTAGTTTCTCATTTCCTGAATGCTGTACCCTGAATCCCTTTTGTAACATTAGTTACATTTTCCACTTTCCTTTGTCTCACTCCAGAGTTTATTTAGTTGATGAATTATTTACCACTGCTGAATGTCAGCCTTGCTGTATGTGAGATCCTTTAGAAGTCTTGAGTGTATGTTATCAGGTTGTGATGGTTTTAGTCTAGGCCTTCCTGGTGACCAGTTTGTAACCAAGGAAGTAGACAAGTACCCAGTATTCCATACAATTTTTACATAAACCAGAGTATAAATAAGTCGGAGATTAGAGACCTCGCTCTCTTCTCTTCCGGCGAGGTTTGGGAACAGTGGGTCCCTACATTGGTCTCGCTTATCTAAGGCTGAGGCCTGCAGAGTCCACCGTCCTGCCACGTGGAAGTTTGGAGAGTGCTGGCTGTGTCTGCCAATCCTGTTGTTCTAAAGGGACGTGGTGAAATCTGTTTTGTTAGTTATTAGTATAGTTTGATCTAGTATACCTGTTCGGTGTCCCCTTTGTTCCCTTTCGTCCCCTTTTTCCCTTTCCCTATCCCTGCGGGGGGTGGACCCCCTTTTACTGTGTATGTAGCATCTTAACTGTACATAATTGTAATTTACGTAAATATAGATATATTTTTACATAAGCAGCTTGACTTTGGGTTCTTTAACTTTTATAGTTTCTTTTCCTTTAACCTAAGGGAAGAAAGGAGGGGGACGGGGACTGCTGTCGTAACTTTCAGGCATTTGGCAGGGAGCCAGGTCCAAACCGTCCCACAGGTGTTGGAGAGGGACAAGTTGAATTTGTGTCAATTATCTTCCAAAAGCTTTTCTCTTGACAGTTTTGTAGAAGATCAGTCTTTGGCATGGTTTAGGGTCTCCTTTTACCTAGTCTGTAGTCAACACTGTTTATTTTTCTTTCTTGCTTTGGTTTTATTTTTCAGAACACACTCAATTAATAGTCTGTTGCTCTTTTAGACTTGCTGCTTTCTTTATGTTCTTAAAAGCTTCCTTATTAGATTTTATTTCTTTAGAAAGTAGTTTCTCAATATCTTTCATGATCTGCCATTATTTTTATACAGAAAAATTACTAGTATTTATGCGGGGTTTTTTCTATTCTTTGCTTAGCATATGGCTTCCCTTTCTGAAACATATCTATTTACTTTCAAAAGTCTTCTTTGCAGTCCAGTTGATGTTGCTGGCCTTTTTGACTTTTTTGGAGTTCTTCTATAGATGGTGGATGTGCTCTGTCCTTCTAAAACAGGATATTTAAAGTTACTCCATACACCCCCCTCCCCGT